CACTCTACTTCCATTCAAAATCATAGCGACGATTGAACGCAATTTGGCCTATGCTTTGATTTTTTGACCGAATTATTCCAAAAAGGTGCGTGTCGATTGAAGTCGCTGAGAACGCTTATCAATGACTATAAAATGACTTGCAGGGGCCAGCCAATGTACAAGGCAGTTTATTATCCTCCCAGACAAGTCTGGCACCATCAGGGTTACCAAAAAGAATTCTCTAGAAAAAAGTTCCGGAATGGCACTAATCCCCTTTCAAATTGGCTTCACCAAACCCCTGATTCCAAGGCTGTAGGTGGAGGCAAGTGTGGACGTAATGACGACAAAGCATTGGAGCAGGTCTTCGAAACCAGGCCGCATTTGAGGGGAATTCCAGAGGGACCTTCGGTGCACATATGGCTTTGGAATAAGGAGGGCAACATGCGAGACCTATAGGAGAAGCTCTGGAAAAGCTGGACATCTTTCAAAATAGCGCTAAACTCTAGATAGGTCAAAGTTTCGTGGGCCTTCCTCAGGCCTCGGTAAACCAAATATTTCTAGGCATTTTCCAGTCAATCACAGTTTTCCACAATAACAAAGCTTTTCCCTGCTCTATATCGATCGACAAATTGCTGTGAATGCTTTGACTTTTTTGACAAAATTATCCCAAAATTGGTTTAGGTGCGGCCTCGTTCAAGTCGCCGAGAACGCTAATCAACTTGGAAGTGTACTGGAATTTTCCAGTGCTGCACTTCGGGTGGAGGTTCTCGCCGTCCGTTTTCGGGGAATTATCGTTGAGCCGTTGCGTTCGTAGCGCTAAGGCAGCCCAGGACTGAGCAACCATGCCCGGGACCGGATACTGTGGTGTTGTGAAAAGCGGTTAGCGTGGTGGAGGAGGCAAGTGTGTGGGGGCCGCTCTTCAAACATGAGGATCGAGCAGAGAATTCCTCGGATTCATAGGCGCACCTCTCTCCCCCTTCTCTTCTCCTCAGTACTTCACAAACGTAAACACTTCAACATCAGCGAGTTTCTTAGCACTCTGAGCGCGGCGCGCCACCATTTACAACAAGACATATCGGCACATGCGATCAGAACAACTTCACTGGGGATTCGTTTTGGGGAATGTATGCAGGTTCCCACAGCCCCATAAGTGTGTATGTGGGGCTGCTATGAACAACTGCTAGCTGAGCGGCTTGATTTATATCTGGTTTTGGCCTTGCGTAGAACAAGAACGGCAATGTGAATGAAACATCTGCGTCCACCCCGCCTCTGAATCGATAGTTAGGTGCATGAACCGAGTGGGAGGCTGAAGAGTGCTCACATAGCGCTTATGAGTTCTTCACGATTTCCGGGAAACTACGCGTGCCCTAGGAATGCGCTTGAGACGTCTTTTTGGAACGGAAAAAACGGCGCCAAAAAATATTTGTTCTGTTTTCGATTAGCGATCGTATAGTAAACAAGGAAGCCTTAGACGAGGTGATAAGATGGTGATAAGGACGAAAAACAGAGAGGGAACAGAAAACAGAGACAAGAAATGCTTACGTCTTCGCGCTTTTTGCGTTCCTCTTCCAACTGTCGCTGTACTTCGTCGGCCTCGTCCTTTGCAGCCTCAGCCTCTTCGCGAGCTTGGCGCATTTTCTTCTTGAGGACATCGAGCAGCGATGTCTGCTGAGCGCCTTCTTTGTTCACTTTTGACGACATGATGGCGGTGGTTGGATGGATGGATGGACGGATGGAAGGATTCAGATGGCGGCAGACGACGCTTCAGAACAGTACGGTAACCGAAGCGAGAGACGCGAAATGTGGAAGCACTTGTGGAAGTCGCGCGACTGTCAGCAAATTGTGTGAGGGCGGAGCTCACTCACACTCACACACCGCTCTCTTCTGCTCCTCTCCAAGAGATCAAACAAAACGGGAAGCGACGACCGTCGAAAAACGTCGAGCTGCTCGTCGTCCGTGGCCGCACCGAATCACTTAAAAATGATAAGCATTGATCGGCGATGGTTCAGAGCAGCAGCAGCAGCAACAGCAGTTACGGCGGAATTTAACGAACGATTGATGAAGCGCTGATGATGAATCAACGCCGTACGGACCGGCAAAGGGACTGAAGAGCAGCAGAGGTGCTGATGGCCAGCGCCAGCCCCGTCGCCGAACCGACACAGCGTTCATCCGAAGCTTAGCCGAATTACAATCAATCGCACACACAGGAATCACATCATACCAGGCAGGCACCCCGAGACCGAGCGCTGGCTGCATTATCAACGGCAAACGAAGTTTTTTGATGGCAAAAGAACGGTTGTGAAAGGAGACAAGCGAGAGTAACGCGGGTCTCGCGTTCAGAAACATCTGCTGTAAATTTTGGAATTAGCCCGGCCAAATGCGCTCAGGAAATGGGATAAAGGAAAGGAGAGCACAAGCGAGACGAACAGCAAAAGCAAGCCGCAGCTGCTGACAAATCGCTTCGACGACCAGGAAAGGAAATGCGATCGCGCGGTGTCGCAACGCGACGGCACCGCCCTCGACGCGACCATCGGCGCGACCCGTGGAAATTTCGAATCGCGGGGCGAAACACGGGGTGAATGCTATCAGTCCATGTATTTGTGCTTATGCCGATGTAAGCACGGCAGGGCACACTCATGGACAGACGGCGACAGCTGAATCAGACTCGGCAGACTGTCCAACAGTCGACTCGGGGCAAACATCCGCATCGATTGGACAGAAATGGTGAAGATGTGAACGGGGGAATTCACTCGGTCATCCACTCTGGACAATGGAACTACTCGAAAAGGGTGGCGCCGATAATTACAATGTCCGTGCGCGTAACAAGGAAAGAGGGGAGGCAGAGGCGCGGTTGAGGTTGAGTCATGAGATTCAGTGAGGCCACCGCAGTCAACCTCCTTCTGCGGCTGTCGACGGGTGTGATCCATGAGAGGCCATTTGTGGCGCGAGGCCAGCCAGGGAAGACTTTGGATTTCAAGAACTGAGGTAAAATAGCCTGAAAGTCGAAGAGTAGATGGGTTTGAAGTTCAAATTCTCGCATTTGCGGGAGATAGCCGCTGATCGTGATGGCGAAAAGGGAATAGCAATGGTTTGTGTGTGTCTGCGTGTGGGTGAGGCCTTGAATGGATGTTGCGCCCGCGGTGAGTCATTCATTGTTCCTCAGTGTACCACCAGCACTCACTGCTATTCTCAACCTCGTTCTCGACCACCATCACCATCGCCTAAGTGACTCGCACAGTTCGAATCACAGATCTCGACTTCGGCAGCCGTGCTATGGAGGGTTTTCGCCGGCAGTCGACCGGCCGATCGCTGCCGTTCTGCTCTTGTGTCGTTATCAACCTGCTTCTTGCGCTCTCAAGCTCAGCTTCTGCGTCACCGCCCGGGCCGCATATTTCGTAGTCCTCTAGCTCTGCGGGGGAGCTGTGCTGCGACAGTGTAAAGCAAACACGCTCTAATCATTACAACGTGAGACAGCGAGTCGAGCTAAATAGGAGATCAGGCCAGGGTATCCGCGGCCAGATCAGATCAGGCAACAAGAGAACAGTGATATTGATAGAATTATGTGACAACATGCCTTCCTTCCTTACTAGGGAAAATCGGCACAAAATGGCTTGAAGGGGGGGGGGCAGCCCGTGACCTGTGTCACATTCACGAAAACGCTCATTTTAGGACTAATAGTAAGCCTAAGAGGTGGGGAGGAAAGTTGGGCTGCGTAAGTATTTCCCAGTCTCTCCGAAACTCGTTCCTCTCCGTAGTCTTAGTCCTAGTGGCCTTTCTACAGTCTACCCCTTCCCCCCATAGGCACATTGCGCGCCGAAAAACCTTCCAGCTATACTTGTTTAGGCAGAAGCAAGCAGTCCTATCGAAGCTCTACAGTACGAGAACGTTTCTACAACTTGCCACGGTTGCACAGCATCGTCCATTAAACAGAGCACACTACTTCTTGTAACGAGTGGTGACTAACAGTCATTAGCTCGTTGGTCAAGTAACCCTAAATATAGCGCTTTTTCTTGCCCAGCGCCGTAATATGCTATTCTTAAACTCATTCTCAAAATCATCGCTTTATTTGAGGCAGAAAGTGTGCACATTTGACCTCAATTTGGAATAAGGCGCTATCGCAAGATACAGGGGCATCGTCTAAGACTGAGAACAGGAGCGGGCAGGAACTTTTTAGGCAAACGAGAGATGCGATCATGCCGCGTTAGGATCTCTCTCCCTAAGGCTTATTTCCCGATTTCGACAAAAGGAGACGTTTACGCGGTTTCGAACACATATGATACCTTGTGACCCACATTCTGCAAGATAGACGCCTGAAAGCGTCTCCATTATCACATTCATATTTGAATGCAGTAACCTTGAAACTGTTCACAATCAACGTGATGCTGCAGGAAAACAAGGTGGGAGGTTAGCGCAGTGGTAACAGGCGTCATTCCGTGCGCGCAGAGTTAGCAAGATCTATTCATTTCGTGGAGCGATCGATCGGCTCCTAGACCTATTCAGAGCAGGTTGGTCACCAGAAGCTTAGGCTAAGAATTTATCGGCGGTAGAACTTGGAGGTAGTGTCCTAAAGGCTCTCTAAAGTTGTCCGTTGCCTTGATTGCAACAGAGATTATTACCTTAAGCTTCATATAATTTTTCCATGTTTTATTCTCTCAACGCCGATTCAAATGGGTATTATTAGACGATCACGCGTTTAGTATACTGCGATGGAGGGTAAAGGTAGGCTGTAGTTAGTCAACTGCTACCGTTAGAAGCATGAAAACCGACAAACTCGTTTCTTAGTGGAAGGAAGATCTTGAATATTGAGCCCCAGAATTCGGATGGAATTCTGTATAATCGATTTTTTCAGAGCAGTTTCAAAACAGTAACTCCGTGGCGCAGCTACACGGAACTCCAAAGCTAGATGTCTTAAAAGTTGTTTGCAAGAAGGTCACGCACGGAAATGAATCGGTACGGTAACCAGATACGTCAATTATGTACGGGTGTCAATAAGCCAGTCTCACCTCGACATTGTGTGTGGTATGTTGCTTGATGGGAGGATTGGAACGCACCTGTCTAAACATCTGAACGGACCACCTCCTAATTGGAGGAGGCGATTCCAATAATAAAATAGATGGTAAAACAAAAGTTCCGATACAATCCGATTGCCTTGTTTATTTGGATTCGGGGAGAGTAGTTTTTGAATATTCAGTACCTGACCCTCCATTACTGAAGGAACATAGGCACTGGGTCAGTACAGAGGCTCGAATCCTCGAAATCGAGTTTTTGTTGAGACAGCATACAATCGGAGTGTACCGTAACTCTAACGGTTTCGTTGGCAGCTAGGTACCGCCAAGGTCTAAATCAGAACGAACGTACTTTGCACTTTCTTCTCCTTCTCTTCCAATTGGCTGGTGGCGGCGGCCAAGTCTTCCTAAAATATAGACAATTAGTGTTTCTAAGAGCAACACCAATTATTTTTTTCCGTGGTGAAGAATCAAATATTGATAAAATAGAATAGAGTAAGTCAAAATATCAACTTGACTTGGCATTTTAATAAACCCGGCTTGCGAGATTATGCAGTTTAGTTGTAGACTGCTGCTCGGCGCGTTTTAGAGATCTTCAGTATCTTTTCTTTAAGATTTTTTAAAACGAGTCATCACTGATCTATCAAAATTTCAATCAGTGACTGACATTTATTGTTTTCGCCATATGAAATGAGGCCCAAACTGTTCCAGGAATTGGAAAACGCCAAATTAATCAGATAAAGCTATGCCCTTCCGTGTGAAATCGTGCACCACATGGTAGCGCACGCGCTCGCGATTTGTTAAAATGATAAGTTGCTTACATGGTTTAGTGATATTTTGAAGGATTGCTTCCATACTGGTGTAACCAAGAAAGCGAAATTGTAAAAGAAGAGTTATTGCGCACAGCTTGGTTGCGCCCTGCGCCACATTCACTCGGGATCTTTCTCTGATAATGAACAAGAACCTTGCTCCGACGCAACTTCTCGAGCAATGTTCAATCTAATCCACTTTTAGGACGTAGGTTCCTGCCTCAGGTGGACGAGGAGTATTCACTAATTAAGATGAATATTCGGTCCGGTCATCTGGATGGGTTACGTATGCATGACCAATATGGATAACTTTTTTCCTTAAACCCACTGAGTCTCGTGTATAAATCCCAAAAAGAGTTCTATGAAAAGCTCCTTCAGTCAAATCCCAGATCAGTGTATATCACGAGTAATAACGGTAAGTAAATAGTTGCCAGTGTTGGCATTTGCCAGAATAATAGGTGTCGGGTCGTTTTGGTAATTGCGGGGAGGGGGTTCTTGACAGTAAATTGGTATTATGTCTACCACTTATCATCGGCGGATGTCGCCATCAAAGCTCAAACTTGGGACAGATCACACCGCTAAATTGAGATTCTCTTCAGTCCAGTAGAGATTGTCTATCAATATGGCCTGCAAAGCCGAAACATTTGTTTCCCATTTTTTTAAAAAAAAATATGTCAAATGGCAATTTCACAAGTTACGATGGATGAGGCATATTTGCCTTCTAGGCGCTCATGTCGGGATTTAGACAGGAATTCAAAAACGCTGCGTAGGTGATTCTAGGGCTAAGCCCAAGACAGGTGAAAAGCGCTAGAAAAAGAACAACAATTACTCCATCACCCCACAATCCCTGCCCCTAAGCTTAGTTCCCAAGTTACATCTATCCCCAGGATCCCTTCCCTTCTCTTAAGTTGTGTTCCAAGTACTATAAGTGGTTCACTCACTTAAATGTCCCCCCCCTAACGACATAAGCGCCTCCCCCAAATGATCATAGGCCGAGTATGAGTAACATATTCTCCGGATGCCGAATCTCATGTGAATTACATCAACATCAGAATAAAATGTATATTTCTATGTGAAAACACTGGAATTCTTTCGAATATTCGATCATACGTCCACCAAAAATTCTATAGAATTCGATCACTTCATTATTCTTAGCATTCCCTATAAGGCTGATGCAAAGGATGCCCTTTGGATCGATTGATCGAAAGACAGAAATAGAAGCATCAGCCTTCGAAAAGTGTTAGGGTTGGCCCTTTAAGCTCCTTGAAATGCAATGTGTATTCAACTCCTAAAGAATTCTTCCAAAGTGAAAACAAGGGGTCACTTTCAATTACAGGGCTCTAAGAACTGCTTCGAATTCTGACTGGATGTGGCTCTCTTATTTCTGTGACGTCAGAACAGAAGAAAGAAACAGTGCATATCAGAAGAAGTTGTTAGAGAAAGCTTCAGAGGGTTCCGTTTAGTTAAGATTTAGACGAGAATCTTTTTCATTTTCAGGACGACCGATTATCATATCAGGGCCTATCGCGATATCGCGGGCTTTCCCTAGGACAGCTACACGGGGCACAGGAGCTCGCGGGGATACAAACGAAAATCGCCGAAAGCACCTGGAGCAGTTACCCCCCAGGTTCAGGCCCGTCTTATATGTTGGAGATGTTATATGTGGATTGAAACGACACTGTCACTACGATGCCCCCGTATCTTGCGATAGCGCCCCATATCAACTCAATAAAAACCTTTTCAGATGAGTCCTTGGCCAGGGCAGGCCTAACCAGTTCTTTGTGAAGATCTAATGGCCCCTTCTAAAGCGGCATTGACGTTACAGGCCACCCATGTCAGGGATCTGGCATCCCAGGAATGACTTCTATCCCTTTCCTGCTTATAATCTAGCCTTCAACCCATAGAGCTAACCACTTACCTACCTATTAACTAGAATCATAATTAGCAAGTATAACTTTAGCCCTTCTTTTAATTTCATTACTGTAGAGTAGAAGAATTAGAAGGAGAAGAGTGAAGACAGTCAGGAAGGAAAAGGATGCAAAAAGTCGATCGGAAAAGTGGCCTTTTTTCAAGAAGTGGAGTGTCCAAAGCTTTTCTTGTGGGGGACCGTACCTGAGCTTTGTCCAAATCGTTTTCCGTTTGCATCATTTTCTTTTGTGTGTCACGGAGTTCCTCTTCCACTCGCTCCAACTTCTCGGTAATCTGGCGGACTTTCTCTTCGGCGGCATCGGCTCGATCGAGAGCATTGTCCTGAAACAAGTTGTGTGTCCGATGAAATGGCCTCTACGCGAACACACGACCGCCGGCTAAATCTCGTCCTGAACGGCATTTTTTCTTGCAAATCACGATCGGTGGTAGCTTGAACCGAACACCGTTTCTAACGGGATCGCAAACGTTCCCATTCCCCACACAGTCGGCAATTTTGTGAAAAGGTCCAGGAAAAATGCGTGCTTCCTTCCCCAAGCTACTTCTATTTCGCCCCCGATCTAAAACTTTCGACGGGAGGCGAGAAGTCGCGGATTGCCTCCATATGTTGTAAGGATCGAAACCTCTCGCGCTCAATGTGTTACACTGCCCTTCACCCTGCATTGCCTCCCACCTTCTTCCTAGCCCCTGGATTGCCCGATTGCAGGAAATTCTCTGGCTGTGAAGTCAAAATAGCGGGGGAAAAACATGGCCGTGAAAATTCATTTGTCTACACGTTTCTCGGAATTCTCGACGCGATAAAAAGAAATATGCTGAATCATCGTTATTCTTCGCCCCGTCGCGCTGCCGCTTCACAGCCACCACATAAACCGGAATCAAAACATCTACATCTTATGGGAGTGTATTAGGAAGAGAAGCAGGGTAGGGCGTGTGCGACTTGGATCAAACTGAACTGAATAACCGCGCACGAGCTAATCATCGACCTTAGCTAGCGGCGCTAGTGACCGGGAGATCTGAACAGCCAAAAAACGGGACGAAACAAGCCTGGCAGGAACGGGATTCGCGACGATGACTACCCCCGACGGGTTGGGGATTGCATTTATGGCGTGCGGGGACGGTAGACTGATTGGCTGACTGGCGGTCACCATCTATGGAACGCCGAAAAGCCATGTATGGAAACAACAATAACAACAACAACAGCGTCCATGGAATGTACATATAGATGTACCTTCTCGATCTTCATCGCCTGCATCTTCTTCTTGATGGCGTCCATTTTGGCAGTAGTGTTGAAACAGGAGTAGTGCAGCCGCAAACAACGAGGAGTCTGATGTACTGATTCTGGGGCTAGCCAGGCGCTCGCGAGCTTAGTCTTTCCTCCAACCCTTCGCCACGCCCCACGCACGCCACCAGCGCCCCTACGGCGCCGCCGCCGCCGCGTTCTCTGTCTAGCGTTTCTCGACGCAGGACACTCTCTTCATCGAGAAATGACGGATGTATACCGTATACTCACCTCCGCTACCTCCAGTAATGTCAGTTGCCTCTGGATCATTGATACACTCTCACATGGTGTCACGACATCTTCCGTCTCCTAGGCTCTCATCGATGGGGGTGTATCTCGCTCGTCAGTGCGAAATCACACACACCCACCCTACGTAAAGATAGCTTCGACAAAACACATTACACCAACAACTACGCCGTCCACAGCAGCGTCGGCTGCGGACGTGAATCCGCAGCTCCGACACACCACGAACAAAAATCTCGTAAAAATGACGTCCGACTCACTGGAATGTTTCCTTCGTCACAGATGGATGGCAGTAAGAGCAGGGACCTTACATGGACACATAAGAGATCACACCTTGCAATTCCTATAATAGCACCAGGGAAGTAGGTTAAAAGCCTTACAGACGTCACTTACGACAAGCCTTTGCCTTACAGATCAAAGGCTAAAAATAACCCCCTGCATGATATATGGATGCCATGAAAACCCGTAGATAAGTAAAAAATCTAAAGAATGGTAAAATGATTCCTAATTGTTCCTAAAAATGTACTCTTACGAAAGAGACCAACCAAATCACGTGCTCGAGGTATTACATGAAAGATATCATACGCTGCTCAAAAACGGGTAAATCTTCCGCCTTTTAGGCTCCAAAGAATGCGAAGGCGCCGACACCTAAGGTGATGAACCCGTGAACAATCTCTTGTGCTCTTCAAAGCAATAAACTAGTGCTATTATCCCAAAATATCCGTGAAACCTTGAAAACCCTTGGGAGTGGCTTTATAGAAGGGCAGCGTTGAAATCTTTTTTCAACTGAGAAATTTTCCCAGATCTGGCCCAAAAGTCAAAGTCTCTCTCGAATGTTATGCGGTTGCTTACTCCTCAGCGCTATCGCAAGATACGGGGGCATTGTGGTGGCAATGCAATTAAAACCGGGTGAAACATTCCATTTTTGCTAAATTTGGGACTAAGCCTGGTATGCGAAGAAGTCCACAGTGCGTAAAGAGTTTTCATTTTCTTCGAAGTTCATAACCAATCCTAGGCCTATTCCCAGAGGATGCCCCCATGTCTGTGATAGCTCCCCATTCCTCTACCTCGAAAGAAGTTTATTTTGGCAGGGTTTTATTTACCCAATGTGTTCTTTCCCATAACCACGCAATACCGGGTACCAAGAAAAGAAGGGCAGCTATCGCAAGATGCGGGGGCATTGTGGTGGCAGTGCATTTGAAATCGCGTGAAACATCCCTTTCTGGTAAAATCGGGACTTAGCCTTAGGTGAGATAAGAGACTCCACGGAGCAATTTTTGAGCTGCACGAGCAATTTTTCCCTCAAATTCCTGCCCCTCCTAGGCATAATAATACCTAACCATAGGATAAGAAGATAAGTCCTGAAGGATGCCCCCGGATCTTGCGATAGCGTCAAAGAGGATGGATTTTTGAGTTTAGTGATGTTAAATTTTGGTAATTAGTTTTATTATTTGTGTATAATTTTAGGTTTTAGTTGTGCAATCTCTGATAGAAGATTGATTTCACATGAATTGGTTCTAATCGTTAGAAGTTAACGATGTGATATATGTGAACTATGCAGCAGTCGTTTTTTGTATAAATGCAGTAATTTCTAGGAATCTTACTTGTACTCATAGAGCGATCCGGGACTGTTGATTAATCTCATCACATCGCGACCTACACCAATGTTATTTTATCAACAAAAGGTGGTCTCAGATTAGTTGATTCGTGATCATTAATCTTCGCTTTTGGATTCCCTGGAATGAAGGTCTTAGAGTTCAAATTACAGTACTCCGAGAAGAAGAATTCTCGGCTGAGTCTAAACAATTAGCGCAAAATGGCCATGGAAAATTAATGATCTTCAAAAATTAAAAAATAACTGCATAGCAGCGATGGTTCAAAATCAATTAATGATTTGCCCATGAAACAGCGGTGGTACCGGTTTTCTCAGAACTGGTTAGTTTCCCCCTCGAGACTGTCTTATTCTCGATTCTTCTGATAAGTAAAAAAACGCATTATTTTAGCGATGACCGGAGATACGCCGTGCATCTTCTATTTTATTTTTAAAGTCGTAAACGCACTTTTAAGTGCATTGGCCCCATAAAACAACTGACCGATGTTCACATGAATATTTTGAACTTTCAGACAATTAGAAAATTCGACGTCAATTGAGGAAAGAGCAAGAAAACTTCTAACTATGGATAAGAGCCTG